TGTGTGTGTGTGTGTGTGTTGTGTGTGTGTGTGTGTGTGTGTGTGTGTGTGTGTGTGTGTGTGTGTGTTTGTCTGGACGTATCCGTTAACTTTCATGTTTGAGTATTCGTATAACTATCGTACTCTCTATGGGCTTAAAGATTTAGTCATTGCGAAAAATTTGTCACATTATCTAACATCCATATATTTGCAATAGTTAAGGTTTTAACATTCTCAGAAAGCACAAGTCCAGATAGCTGGACCATAGACATATGGATAATGTAGATATGGTTTTTATATGAGCTGAGTGCATTGTATTAGCCGGGTAAAACTTAGCAACTAAAGTTACTCATATATAGCTTAATTAATGGATTAATTGAAAGAAATCATTTTGTAAAGTACTTTCTTAATCCTTTCAGACAGATAATCTTTATGTTTAGCAATACAATCACTCTGTACAAGAACGGCATCGAATAATAATTTAGTTTTAGTTAATCTTCATCTTGCACGATGATTATCCCATTAACATTCACTTGGTCTTAAAAAAATCATGACAGACGATCACAAATTTGAATGAATCAGAAAAGAATTTACTCAAGCATTGATGGTAACTTTATGTCATTAACATAAAATAGTTTGGACATATCTCTTTGAAACTTATAGTTTTGATATAATTTTAAAAGTTATTGCAAAACAAACTAGCTACTTTTTTAGATAGGTGGCAATGACTTCGAAAAGTTTCCTTTATTTATACCTTTTATCGATGAAAATTATCAATGAGGACATTAAAGTTAGCAGGAAACAGATACTCGAAAAATCTCTTAATTCTTGTCTTAAATTTTAAAAAAAAGCATGAAAAATGAATATTAGTACATAAGTTTTAAGTAAGTATTAGTATATAAGTTTTACATAACCCTATTCTTGTCTATAATGCGTTCGGGACATGACTTTTCACCCACTCAAATGTTGTCGATTGCGAAATTAGCGATAAGTAAACGCTGATAGCAATTCTAATCTACAAAACTGTAAGATATCAGTAGATCATGTCAAATAATTTTCCACTTCCCTCATTCCTTATTTTCACTTTCTTGTTTACTGGTTTTGCTTACAATTAATACAAATTTAAAAACTGTATACTAGTTCATAGGGTTTCCCACGATTTTCATGATAACTCATAAAATGTTTGTGATCGATGTTTAATTGATTTGCCAAAGCTGATGATGTATATTTGATCTGTTTAAAGAGAAAAGTTCAGTCTGTATTTTCTATACAGAAATGATGTTTATCACCTAAGCACAATTTAAAAAAAAAAAATTGATTTTCTTTCCGACATATGAATTATTGATATTAACCATAAAATGTATACGGTACTATTTCTGCATCGCTATTCCATATATCATTGTTCATCACTGTCTATATTCACTTGAAGTTTCATCAAAAATACAAAGATCATATGAAATATACGTGTTGATATGACATGTTGATATCGTTATTATATGAAATAACGATATCACAACTATTGGAAAATTCAGCATAACTTATGCAGGTAATACAAAAACATATGTTATATTTAGCCTAGCACTGAGCCTTCAGGTATGCCTAATAGTATATCTTTTACTTATTCAATGGTACTATGGCAACTTGATGTCTGTGTAAAATGTCCAAATACTTTGTAATCGTTACTATTATAGATTAAGTTATATCTAAGATAATTTAAACAATTTAATTTAATTAACTAACTAGCAAATGCGAAACTCTTTAAAAAAAGAAAAAAACATTCTGTTTTCATTAGCTGCAGTTATCGAATGTTTCGAGATTGGAAAAGTAATTAAATAACTCCTGCTGATGCATTTCACTTTCGAAAATTTCATTATTACTATGATGTGAGTTGATTTTGCGCCATTGGAACTTTTTGGTTTTTGCATTTCTTTCCCACGTTTTTTTTTTAAATTTCGATTCTACGCTTTACGTAGTTTATTTCATTTTACTAAGGGTTTTATTGATTTAAAGTATGAATATGTGCCCAATTTAAGGGTCACACATCTTCATCGACGATTAGATTAGGTAAGGTCGGATTAGCTCTTCGTTATCGAAGCAACCTCATACCACTTAAATTTATTCATCAAAACTGATTAGTGATTGTTATTTTTATGCAGTAAAAGTAACCACTGAAAAGAAATAGATTAGCATAAAAATCAGACTGCTCAGAGTCATACTGTCAACATTTTCTGTCATTGCCTCTCTGATACAATATTAAGATGATCATCAGTCTTTTTCTTCAATTGCAGTCATTTTAGTGATATCTAAATCAAAGTTGGGTGCAATATTGGGAGTTTCAAGTTTATTCACAAGTATATGTGTGTGTCTGTGTCTGTATTTGTGTATGTATCTGTGTGTGTACGTGCACTTCTTTTGAGTTATTGAATATGAGAAAGGAGTTATTTTGAATATGAGAAAG